TCATATCCAAAGCATGTTGGTGAAACGTTGTTGTGTTTTAGAATGCCTAATTAGCACTAAAAATATAGCTGATTTTCAAACAAATCAATTCTTTGATCAAAAACCATATTTCGATACCATTGGTGAAACGCTGGTGAAGCATTGGTGTATTTTTAAATGGCTGAAAAATACTAAAAATGCAAACGAAGATGTATGGAGCGTTTATTTTAAGTTCATTTCATATCCAAAGCATGTTGGTGAAACGTTGTTGTGTTTTAGAATGCCTAATTAGCACTAAAAATATAGCTAATCTTCAAACAAATCAATTCTTTGATCAAAAATCATATTTCGATACCATTGGTGAAAAGCTGGTGAAGCATTGGTGTATTTTTAAATAGCTGAAAAATACTAAAAATGCAAACGAAGATGTTTGGAGCGTTTGTTTAAAGTTCATTTCATATCTAAAGCATATTGGTGAAACGTTGGTGTGTTTTAGAATGCCTAATTAGCACTAAAAATATTGCTGATTTTCAAACAAATAAATTTTTTGATCAAAAATCATATTTCGATACCATTGGTGAAACGTTGGTGAAACATTGGTGTAGTATTAGAGCATTTTAAAATCTCGGTTTCACTTTAGAAATGTTGTTTTGTATTTGAACTAGATACATTAATGTATTTCAATGAATATATTCTCTTAAAAGTTGCTTTACAAAATTGAGTACGAAAAAAGATATATTTTTTGTGAGTCTTTTTTTGTAATTCTTGGAAGAGTTGTTGTAGTTTATAATAAATGTTTTTAAAACTTTCTTTTGCTTTCCACGTCATTTTCTTAAATACTTTCATGCATCTTAATCACCATTGGTGAAATGTTGGTGTAACATTGGTGTAATTTTAAACCTTTGTTTTTGTTCACAAATATTGAAATTGGTTATTTTTGTCATTTCTGTATTGTTTTCGCACATTTGAAGTACCATTGGTGAAACGTTGGTGTAGTTTAAAACTACTTTCCCAAATCCTTAATCAATTTTCTTCCATATTTCTGTTTTTGTAAGTGAAAATAAGAAATTTGTAGTACATTAAAATTGTTTTTAACGGTTATTTCTGTATATGTATTGGTATATATATACATATGTACATCTTCCTGTCAATAACACTGATATGCTTAATTTGGAACAACAATAAATAACACATGTTCGTAAAGATATTTATGCGGTGTGTTATATTTGCTATAAATACTCTTACTTACATATACATATATACCTATGTTTATCAACAATAGCCTTGAAAAAGTTTTAATTGAAAAATATTAAATTTCGACAAGCAATGGAATACACAAACATACCCACACACACACACACTTTTGGACCGATAAGTGTAATATGCGTGCTTAAAACTGCTACGATATAAATATGTATATACATACATACATATATATGTAGATATTTATATGCATGCAGAGGTAAACGCAAATAAGAGAAAAATAACCGCCAGGCATAATAAATTAATTGATTAGACATCCTCACATTACACAAAAAAGGGCGCAAAAAGGAACCTGGCGTGCAATTAGTTTCTTGTCTTTATATGAATATGTATTTGATTATGCATATGTGTGTGTATTTTTTGTAGCGAGTTTATGATTTTGTATATTCCACAAACTTATTGCGCGTGTCTCATTGATAGTAACAGTAAAGTATAGTAGCGAAATCATATGAAGTCGAAAACAACAACAAAAAAACAAATCAAATTCATTTCAAAAAGGATTTTTATGAGCCAAAACGAAAGATAGAAATTTCACCACCTACAAATATCATACACACGAACATACATACATATACATATATCTAAAAACACACATATGAAATAATTTTCTTAGCATACTCATAGGGTTGACAACAGCGGGAATATTCATAAATTTTCGGCAAGCATTTGTTACAAAAGACAACAATATTATTTATGCTTAAGATGGGGTATTGGTGGCGCTGCAAGAAAATATGAATCGCTACCTAGCCATACATAGACATGCTTTGAAAATCACAGTGTTTGCACGTTTGTGGTGTAATTCAATATGAAATTTACGAATCTGTAAATGTTTTGTTGACGCATGAGGTAATTGTTGTGGGTGAAAAAAAGATTGTGCTTGTCGCCTTGTGCGTTTTTATAAAATACGTAGGTTTTTCTCTACAAAATAAACGTATATTCAATAATAACTCAATGTCTCTTGACTTAATTTGTGTGCGTTTATTGTTTGAATTTTAATCAATTTAGTATTTTTTAATTCAATATTCGTTTTTCAACAAATTTAAAATTCCACTCAATTTTCACTCAATGTGCCATAAGAAATTTTTGCATATTTTGGCTTTTCAAGCATTTTGCCTTGTGTTATTTAAATATAGACATATTTTCGCAAAATTTCATTTTCCACTCAATTTTCACTCAATGCAGTTGAAGACAAAATTTTAATTTGTTTAGTTTAAATATCATTTTAGCTACTTTTATTTAATTCTCTTAATATTTTTACATTCTTAGGGCTTACACTCAATTTTCACTCAAAGTATCTATACGGAATTTTTTCAACTTTTGGCTTAATAGCATATAAATTAATTTTATATGACTGCTTAAGAGTTTTTTACAATGTTTCATTTTACACTCAATTTTCACTCAATGTGTCCATATAGAATTTTTGCTATTTTTGACTTAAAAATCATATAAATTAATCTTAAAAAACTGTTGAAACATTTTTCGCATTACTTCATTTTACACTCACTCAGTCTTCACTCAATGTGTATATGTGAGCTTTTAGTGATTTTTGAAAAATCACACTTAATGTACGATTTTCCTCCTTAGACAAAATATTTATTTGTTCATGTAGGAAATTTCCAAAAAGATTTAGGCCACAACACTTTGGCGTGAGTCTCACTCAATTTAAAATAAACGCCCAAACAACCAATCATTTTACCTTTTATGCCACAAGTTTCATCGGCTTTATGTATAGATGTATAATTTTGAAAAGTTTTTAACAAGAACAATATAAAAGCGTACATATACACCTATAAAGGCCCACACGGCATACTCGTATACATACATACATACATATATATGTGCACACGTATGTACGCTATTGTACATTGGCATCAAATTAGATTGCCGGTGTTTTGTGTTGACGAAAATATGATAATTGGCAAATTTGACAAGGGAATTTTTCTTCATTTTATACTTATAACAATAACAACAACAAATTTACCAACATTCCGCCAAACAACCCCAAGGCGCTTAAAAATACATACATATGTACATATACATATACTCGTATGTATGGAATGCATGTTTGCTACACCGTCTTGTCATATGTAAAATTTTCTGAATATTCAATATGCGCACACTTCTCGACAAACATACTTACACACACATTCAACTTTGAACTTTAAAAATATTCGCGCGCTACTGTTGTATTGAAAATTTTCAAAGCACGTCAAAGACAAGACAAAGTTTTTAACTGTTTCTATAAGAAATATTTTTATGAATATGTATGTATGTATGTAGATTTTATAACAAGCGGCTGGAGGAGGCTTACGAATCTTTTTGTGGCTACAAATGTTTGTTATTGCTTTCATTATGCGCCTGTTTGTAGTTTTTGATTTTTGTTACTTTACTGTTGTTGTTTTTGTTGTTGTTGTCGACTTGCTGTTTTACGGGCGTGCATGATTTTTTAATGACAGGCATAATAATACACACACACACACATATATATGTCTATACACACTTGTATATGATGCATATGTGTATACCTTCATACAACTGTCTATGGCTTGTGTTTGTATGTATGTGTGTTTGTTTGAAATTAATTTTATTTTACTTTGGGGCGGTTTTTAATTGATGAACAAAAATTGGCGGTTGGTGGTACGTTTGTGGGTTCTATTCGCATGCATATGTAGTAGTATGGTTAACGAAAATAGAAAAAATATATTTATATGCAGAGCAAACTGTTAGATACTTTGCGAAATATTTACATTTTTTTTTTTTAATTTTGTAATGCATATTTCTAATGATTACATTTTGATTACTTGACAAAATTCTATATACATATATATCAGTTCTACAGCGTGACCTGAAAACATTAAAAGTAATATACAAAAATTCTTTCAAAAGCATTAAAATCAAATATTTGTTAACATTTTTGTAATGATTACATGTAATGATTACAAAATAATGATTAATTCGTATTCCAAGTTAAAGAAAAAAGATATTTAGTGCTTAGAACGGAGTAACATATGATTGCTGGTAATGATTAGATTTAGATTACATGTAATGATTACTTGGTATACTTGGTGCTCAGAACGGGCCAATATATGATTATTAGTAATGCATACATTTTGATTACATGTAATGATAACAAATAATGATTACTTGGTAAATCAAGTTAAATAAAAGAGATATTTAGTGCTTAGCACGAGCTAATATATGATTATTGGTAATGAATACATTTTGATTACATGTAATGATTACAAATAATAATTATTTCGCATTCCAAGTTAAAAGAAAAATTGTTTAGTACTTAGAACGGAGTAACATATGATTGCTGGTAATGATTACATTTAGATTACATGTAATGATTACAAAATAATGATAACAAATAAGGATTACTTGGTATACCAAGTCAAATAAAAGAGATATTTAGTGCTTAGCTCAAAGTAACATGTAATTGCTGGCAATAATTACATTTGGATTATATGTAATGATTACAAATAGTCATTACATGTAATAATTGCTTTTTGAATAAATATAACAATAATGTTTTGATTACATGTGTTGATTACAAACACTTTTGGTTCATTTTCACTACAAGTAATGATTACATTTTGATTACATGTAATGATAAGTCAAAATTAAAAGATTCTTAACCCATTCGAATTGCAGTTTAAAAACTATTTTTCATACAAGTTGAAATATTTTCACAACCCGCCCACTGCATACTTGAATTTTAACTAAATTCTCTTCTATCTTCTTCTCTTTAATTCCAGATTAAAGCACTTTTCGAAGAGGTACAACGCCTGCGCACTATCGAACAAACACAACTCACACAAATACAACGACTTGAGGATCACTTAGAAGTGAAGCGTCAGCATATTATGCGTCTCGAAGCGCAACTTGATAAGCAAGAAATCAATCAAACTGGCACGACCAGCGCAAATAGCACATCAACATCAACGGCAACAACAACAACAGCAGCAGCCGCTTCCTCAGCAGTGCCACTGACACATGTCATACACAATGTTGACGATGATGATGATGATGATGACGATGATGATGTTGTTGAAGCTACAGAGCAGGCGGATAATGCTGAAATTGTTGAAGACACAACAGCTACAACAGTTGCCAAAATAGATTTAACCACCAATAGCACAACAACTACAACAACAGCAGCAGCAGCAGCAATATCAACAGCAGACCATAAGAGAGACGCTATAGAAGCTGAGCTTGCCGCCGATGTTGAATTGGCAGCCGATCGCGCGTGTGAGAAGCTAACAACAGCGGATGTGGCAAATGCAACAACAGTGGCCAGCAATGATGATAGTAACTCAACGACAGCAACAACAACAACAACAGTAGCAGCCGCAACAACACAATCAACAATAGTTGATGAGATTAAAATCAAAAAGGAAAATCAGTGAGTCCTAAAGTTTGATATGATTGTATTTTTCAATAAATAAATAAACGAATTTTAAGTAAAAGAAAATAATAATTGATGAAATATCATACAAAAGCACTTGAATAAATTTTTGTGAAAAGATATTTTTGATTTCTTTTACGCTGAAAGAAAAAAACAATTCAAGTGCTTTGCGAGAAAAAATTAAATTATAAATTGTTTTCTTTTTATTTTATCTAAAATATGCATCTATTTTCCTCTTCTTCTTCTCCTCTATTTCTACTCTCACTCATGCAGCAGCCCACTCGATTTGGATGTGATTAGTCAGCAATCGGCCATTGCTGCTGCAGCCGCTGCTGCTGCGGCTGCATGCGCCAATGATCCGAACAAATTCCAGGAATTACTACTTGAGGGCACCAAAGCGTTGGCGGCTGCCGCCAGTGCGGCTGAAGGTGAGTATTTAGGCGGTATTTTTGTGTCTTCTCATGCTGCTTATTGTTTATGCTCTTTGTTTTACATATCACATATTTAACTGTGGCATATAGTTTTAATCACACATACATAGATATTTTTTCAGAAGATTTCAAAATATTTTTTCATTATTTCTTTCGATAAATTATTAGAGTTTTTTACCAAAAGTAATTTTTTTCATTATTTGCTATGTTTTTTCAATATTATATTTACGTATCTATATATGTGTTTTATCTACATACAACATTGATAAATATATATATCGATACCCATGCCGCTGCTGTTGTTGCTTATATAAAATTTGCATTTATTTTTTTTTTTTTTTTCAACATTAAATAACTCTGAAAATCATTCTTCGTTGCGGCAAAAATTGTTGCTTTCTACTCACACAAATAAGATAAAATATAATAGTATTAATTTTTTTAAGGAAAATTATTATTTAAAATATTTTATTTTATTTCCTATTTAATTTTTATATTTTGCTTTATTTTTTATTTTACTTTGATTTGTTTTATTTTATTTTAATTAATTTTTTCATTGTATTATATTTCAATAATTTCTGTATTATTTTGTTTAATTTCATTTTACTTTGTTTCATATTTTTAATTCAATTTACTTTATTCTAATTTAATTTTTTTTTTATTTTATTTTATAGTTTTTTATTTAATTTATTTCATTTTATTTTAAAAAATTTTATAATATTATGTTTTATATCGTCTTATTTTAATTCATATTTTATTTTTTCTCCTATATTGTTTTATTTTATATTATCTAATTTTATTTTATTTTGTGTAGTTTTATTTTTTTTTTATTTTTTTCATTTTGTTTACTTTAGTATCATATTAAAATATTTTATAATTTAATTTTTTTTTTGCGTAATTTAATTTTTTTAATTTCATTTATTTTTTTTAATTTTTTTATATTTATTTACTTTGTTTCATTCTTTTTTTTTAATAAGATTTAATTTATTTGTTTTATCATATATCTTTTTATTTTTTTTAACTTATTTTTTGTTGTGTTTTATATTTCTTTTATTACACCTTTATAAAATATTAGTATATTTTGTAGGAATTAATTTTGTTTTCTTAATTTTAATTAATTTTTCTTTATTTTTTTTATTTTATATTTATTTACTTTGTTTCATACTTTTTTTAAATTTGAATTAATTTATTTGTTTTATCATATATTTTTTTATTTTATTCTTTATTCCTTTTTTATTTATTTTTTAATGTATTCTATTTTTTTTTTTATTTTAAATAATTTTATTCTTTTTTAATTTATATTTTTTTACATTTAGTTTTTATTTTATTACACCTTTATTTACTATTTAAATATTTTATAGGAATTAATTTCTTTTTTTTTTGCGTAATTTTATTTTATTTTACTTTAGTTCTGATGTTTCTTTTTTTTGTTCTTGCATTATATTATACTTTATTCTCACTATTATTTATTTATGTTATATTTTTATTGTTCTTATTCAATTATTCAAGTTAATATTAATTTTTTTGTATTTTATTTATTTTTTTTTTAATTTATTTTATTCCACTTATTTCATTTGATTTTTATTTCATTTTAATTTATTTATTATATTAATATATTTTCCTTTAAACTATTAGCATGCATTAAACACATTCATACATACATATATACGTTCCTATATCTCTCTTTCCACTGCGAACGAACTACTTTTGCTATCACAACTACCATTTAATGTGTTGAAAAATAAATCACTGATATTCCACAAAAAAGCAAATATCATATAAATTTTTACATTTATGATTTTTCAATATAAATAAATCAACTTTATAATTGAGCGTATACAAACAAACAAACAAACACACCAACAGCAAAAGATAAAAATAAAAAATACAAACAAGAGGTCATAAAAAAATTAATACAAACATTACAAGCATTAACTTAACGAAAGAAGATGAAACCAGAAAAAAAAACACAAAATTAAAAAATTATTAAATAAATAGCAATAAAAATTTATAGGCAATACAAATATTTCAATTGTGGCAAAGAAGGTGTTGTTGCATGTACACATACATACATATTTTTATTGGCAAAGTGTCTGCGTGCTGGTGATTTGCTTAAGAAGAAAAAAATAATGAAAAATATTGACACGGAAAAATTGAAGAAAACTTGAAATACAATAAAACAAGACCAATTGGCACCCGCTATCAATTACTGTGACATACATACAATACATATATTCCCTTCGATTCATTGTCGAACTGTTGTGGCTGCAGCAGACGCTTGCAATATGACAAAACCACATTGACGAGCGTTGCAAGCAAGGAAGTGACGAAAAAAGCGGTGGCGCCAAGCATTTTATGACCCGCGTCGCTATTTGTTTGGTGTCAACACCGTCGCGGATTCAATTCCCTCCATCTCTCTCACTCTCCGGCACACCAACCGATCGCCGACGTTACAGATTGGCGCTAACAACGTTCGCAATGACAATAATAAAATTTTACAGTTATTGGCAAATAATGAATATCAGATAAAAAAATACAAACAACAATAATTACATTATTAAACGATCATTAAAAATAATAAGGCGCTTATCAATTACCATTCCATTGCTTTAACCCCTTTTTCATATCTTTCTTACATACTACATATAAACATACATACAATATACTATATATAAACTAAAAATATATAAACTTATGGATGTTGGTGCATGCTTGTTGCTGATATATAATCTACTTATACATGAATATGTATATAAGTATGTACCATTTAACAGTTATACAAAGAAATCATGGCAAAAAAAAATTAAAACAAAAAATTTTAACCGTTGAAAATCAAAAATCTTGCTGCTGCAACATGTTGCTAGAATCACTAAAATTGGATAAATTTCTGGAATTGCGAGAAATTGGAGAAAATTTGAAAACAAAAAAAAAAACGGAAAATTAATAACAAAAGTACTTAGTGTTTTTTTTGTTGGCAATAAGATTAATTTAAAATCATAAATAATAAATGAAGTGTAATTTGTATATAATAAAAATAAAAAATAAATAATAGATAAATAATAAATAATTAATAATTAATAACAAGTAATAAATAATAAATAATAAATAATAAATAATAAATAATAAATAATAAATAATAAATAATAAATANATAAATAATAGATAATAGATAATAAATAATAAATAATAAAAAATAAATAATAAATAGTAGATAATAAATAAAAAATAAAAATAAATATTAATAAATAATAAATAATAAATAATTAATAATTAATAATTAATAATTAATAATTAAAAATTAATTAATAATATTAATAATATAAAATTAATAAATAGTAAATAATATATAATAAATAATAAAAATTTTAAATAATAAATAATAAACAAAAAATAACAAATAAATAACAATTAATAATTAATAATAATAAATAATAAATAATATATAATAAATATTAAATAATAAATTATAAATTATAAAAAACAAATAATAACAAACAATAATATGCAACTAGTAATATAAACAATTAATATTAATAATAAATAATTAATGAAGTATAAATTAATAAAAAATGTAAAAAAAATTAAAAATTAAATTCTGAATTAATAAGTTTTAAAAAATAATATTGTATATGTTCTGGTGATCCAAAAGATACTTACAAAAATGGCTTTGTTACATAAAAAATCAAAAATATTTAAAAAAAATAAATTTTTATATTAATTTTTATTTAAGAGCCTTTATTAAATAAATTAGTTTGTTCTAAAATTTAAACTAAAATTTTGATAATTACATATTCACATAAACATATTAAATATGATTAATAAATTTTCCTCAAAATTGAAAAGTTTCACTCCAATCCTAGTATCCACCTTCTCATTTATCAATTTAAAAAAAAAAATAAATAAATAAAAAATCAATTATAACCATACAAATAAATAACTCAAACTTTTTTTCAACCAAATACAATAAAATAATTTTCAATTATCATGAGATGCCAACAAAAACAAAATCTAAATCAAAAACACTATGCTCCTACTCTCCCCCCTAACCACCACATTAAACATTTGTGATATGAATTTAAGTAAAAAAAAAAAAAAAAAACAAAGAAAAGATAAATTTCTGTTGTTGACAACAACATTGTTTGTGCTGTGTCTGTTTGCTCTGTGTTCCACAGGAACAACAGTGCCTGCCAGCCAACAAGTGGATAATGCTGACCACACCAACGCCGATGTGAGCAACAGCAGCAACCAGAAGAGCGAGAAGAGCATAGAAAATGATGAAAATGAGAAAACAATCGCTGCAATAAGTCCAACAGAAATGAGTAATTTAATGCCAAAAATCGAAATTGTCGATGATGATGATGATGATGAGGATAATGATGTTAGTGATGTTTGCAATGATAATGCCGCTGAGCTTATGCAAGAAACTGATGTAGACGCCAACGTAAAAGATGACGCTTATGAAGACGTCAACGAGCTTGAGCACGCCAACCCGCCACAGCCGTCTACCACCATCGATGTGGACGCCTTGGAGAGTGCGAGCAGCAATGATGCAGCAGCCACTGTTGGCGGCGAAAAGTCCGAATTGCAAGCACTGCAACAACATGTTGCGGCCGCTGCTGCCGCTGTAGCTTGCTTTGATGAGAATGTTGACACCTTTGGCTCATTGCTCGGTGAAGAATTGGTGAATTCATATTGGCGTGGCTTCAAGATGCCCACAGCGTCGGCGGGTAATGGCGGTAGTAGCGGCGGAGGCACATCAGCGCGTATGCCAAATGCCAATAATATGTTTGCAAATCCATTGCAACAACGTTTGCCGCCGCCGCCTGCAATACCACCGCCTCATCAGCAACAGCAGCAGCAGCAACAACATCACGGCATGTTGCATCATCAGCACTCAGGTCTAATGCCACAACACATGCAGCAACACCATCAGCACCACCACAATCTGTTTCAACAGCAACAGCAACAACAACAACAGCAGCAGCAAGCTCATGCAACGGCTGCGCAGCAACATGGACCCTCGTCCACTACGCTGCTCAGCCAATTAGTTAATTCCACATTCTCATCAGCAGCACCACCTACCACTTGTTCTTCTTCCTCCTCCTCAACTTCTACTCATTCTTCTTCTCTACGCACAGATGGTCTGCTACCGCCCCACCACCTGCATCACGGTCACCATGCACAGGGCTCATCATCCGCATCGTCGTCGTCTGCACCACCACCGCCACCGCCACCAATGCCGCCACATCATCACCTGCATCAGCCACATCTCAGCGCCGAGGCTTTACATGGCAGCAACAACAACGCCAATGATATGTCATCCAATTCCAATACACCGCACGCGCTGGATTCGCGTGATGAGCTGCACTCTTCGCTGAATGGCAGCAGCAAATCGATGTTGGAAGACAACAACAACACACTTTGTGGTACACCGAACGCTGCGGCGAATGCTACAAGCGCTGCAGCTATGGCTGCCGCCGCAATGGCCGCTCAACAACATCCACATCTGCCACCCGGCTATTTGCATGCGTTACCATTCCAATTTCAGGAGCGCAGTCACTTCCGCTTCGCTGACGATTTACAGCTACCGCCAGGCGCTTCCATGGCCGGCCGCCTCGGCGAATCGCTCATACCGAAGAGTGATCCAATGGAGGCGAAGCTGCAGGAAATGTTACGCTACAACATGGATAAGTACGCAAATCAGCCGCTGGACACATTGCACATCTCGCGACGCATACGTGAGCTACTGTCGGTGCACAATATCGGTCAACGGCTGTTCGCCAAATACATACTCGGCTTGTCACAAGGCACCGTCTCGGAGTTATTGTCCAAGCCGAAACCGTGGGATAAGCTGACCGAGAAGGGACGTGACAGTTATCGCAAAATGCACGCCTGGGGCTGTGATGATAACGCTGTGATGCTACTCAAGTCGCTCATACCGAAGAAAGGTGAGTACATTCATGTTGTTCTTTCCAAAATTTTTTCACATTTTTATAAATTTGTCGCACAAAAAGTTTTTGACACGCAGAAGGCAACACACTGTGTGACAGGTGGCAGTAAACGTGTTTGAGGCAACTAAAAATTTGAGTGCAACTAAAGGTAGTAGTAGTGCGCTTGGCAGCTGTCAACCGCAACCAGGTATTCCTATGACTTGTTGGGCACGAAAATCCATATTGTATGCAAAATGACTGATAAGCAGCAAAAAATTGTTGTTTACCGTAAAATAAAGTTATGTAAAAAAATTTAAAATTGAAATTAATTAAACGTAATTCAAATATAATTAAATAATATAAATAAAATTAGATAAAATAAAATAAAATAAAATAAAATTAAATAAAATTAAATTAAATTAAATTAAATTAAATTAAATTAAATTAAATTAAATTAAATAAAATAAAATAAAATAATATAAAATAAAACAAAATTAAATTCAATTAAAATTAGATAAAACGAAGCGAAATAAATTAAAATTAATGTAGTGAAACGAAGTAAAATAAAATGTTCTCTAAAACAACAAAAAAAAATAATAAGAAAATAAGTCTTGTAAAATAAAAAAACCAATAATTAATTAAATTAGATTAAAATATGGTAAAGTGCAATAAAATAAAAAATAAAACATGAAATAAAATAAAAAAAAAATATTAAAATATAAATGAAATAAAACTTAATAAAATATAAAATATAAATAAATAAAAATCATACTAGAGGTTGTTGATTATGAAACAAATGGCAGCCCTATAGAAGTGAATATTCGTTCAAACTTAGTAAGCAAATTCCTCCAATAACAACTTCTGACCCATAATTTGAAAAAGGTTTTCTAGTTTTATTAAATTATTGCATTCCATACATTTATAATGCATTTTATTTTTTTTTTTTTTTTTCATTTATAATAAGTACTTTATGTGCCTTGGTTATTTTCATATCCTCGATTTTATTTATTCTACATTTGCAAAATATATGCTTCATTTATTCTGCATACTCGTATTCACCACCCCGCATAGAGTACGCTGTAGCACTGTATCCCCTTCCGAACTGCCAATTTTACACTATTAATGTGCTTGAAAGCACAAACTGCAAAATGCATAAATATAATAAATATATGTACACACATATATTCCCCATCAACCGTGTTAATCCAATCAAAACGCCGCGAAAATGGCATAAAAAATTTTTATATATTAAATATTTCTCAACCAAAACCTTATTTATTACATAGACACAAAATTTAACTTAATTAATTTTAGCAGCTAATGCAATCAAACGGAAAATAAAAAAAAAAAAACAAAATTCAAATAAAGAAATAAAAATACAAAGAGACACGTACACCAATGAAGGCCGACAGCATGCAAATGTCAAGCGATAGAAATCAAAAGAGTTTACATATCATATTATATATATATATACATACATATATCTATACTTTTGTATTGATATATTTGTGTATATGTGCACGTATGTGGACATTTTTGTCTTTAAATTTATAAAATGTGACAAATGAATCAAACATGAAATTAGTAATGCATAATAAAATCAAATTAGAAAATTTAGCGAAAAATGTATTTCATTATATACATATATGTGTACATACATATTTGAAATTGAAATTGTCAAAAGAAAAAAATTTAGCAAAATAAATATTGTGCATAAATTTTATTAAATTCAGCACAACTACGTGATTTATGTGTGTATGCATAGATGATATGTATATGTTGATATATTAAAAATATGTGTGTAATATGAGGCCGTCAATTTGGTATTTATGAGTTTTTTTTGAAAGATTTTGTGTACAAATAAATATTTTTTCTATTCCAAAAAAAAATTACATTAATTAATTTAATTTAAATTTTTTAAGTTATTTTTTAATTTTTTATTTAATTTTTTTAAATTTGTTTTTATTTTTTTTTTTAATTCTTTTAAATTTTTTTTTATTTTATTATTGTAAAATTTAGAAAAAAATATGTACAATACTAGCAACCTAAGTCAAATAGTAGAAACCTAAATCATCAACAAGCAAACCAAATAAATTTAAAGAAAATGCATTCAGCAAAACGCCTCCAAAAGTGCTTAGCACCAACGCAGAGAACAAAATCAAATAGTGACATAAATTAATATGTACAAAATAGTAAGATAACTTTTATGCGCGCTGCTTATAAATTTTTTGCAAATTTTTCAAAAAAAGTTTTAATTTTTTATTTGAATTATTTATTTCATTTTTATAATATTCTCTTAAATTTTCTTGTTTAGTTTAAATTTTTAGATTGTTAATTTTAATTTTTAATTATTCTGAGAATTTTTTTAAATTATTATAATTCTTCTTTTAGTTCTCTACTCACTTTTTTAATTCTTTCTCAATTACTTTCTTTTTATTTTTTACATTATGCAATCTTCACTGTTTTTTGAATATTTTGTTTGCTAATTTTCACTCAATGTGCCACTTGTAGGCACTTTGATTAGTTGCGCTCATATTTACACATGTGTTCTATGTTTTTTTATAATGCCACACAGCGCCGGCATCTCATCTTGCCGCCTACTCGTCAACGCATTTACACTTTTATTTATTATTATTTTTTTTTAATCTTTTTTTGTGGTTTTCTGTGCACATTGCACAATGATTGGCTACGTTTTGGCCAACTGCCAGACCGCAAACATAAAAATTTTGTGCAAATTTTTATTAGCTTTGATTTTGCAAAATACATACCTGCAAATGCAAAGAAATGTATGTATGCATAAATATATGCATATACATGCTATGGGAAGCCACTTAGTTGTGCTCAAAAATATATATTTCCCTACAAAATAATTTGTACTAAAATAATTTTTTATGCTAAAATATATTTAAATAATTAAATACTATTTTCTAATTTTTCTCAACTATTTATATAATTGTTTACATATTTTAATATATTTTTAAATATGTTTTTTAAATTTTTAATTATGTAAAAAAAAAACAAAAAAAAATATAACAATTTTAAATAAAGAAAGTTGCTTATATTTTTTATTTCATAAAATTGTTTTGCAGCTCAGTATGTTGCATGTAGGTACTAACAAAAAAAAAAATAAAAAAAAATACAATCGTCTTCCCTGTATATTTTTAATTACCTCATTTTAACCATAAATCAAATAAAGACTTGCAACTTAAAATTAAGTTTTCAATTCATTTTTTTTTTTGTTTTTCATTTAAAACCGTTAATTTCTTTATTTTACCGATGCACGTAATTTGATAAAATCTGTTGCGTGCTAACCAATTTTGTTATATTTAAACTGTTGCCTACTTCAGGGCGTAAATGTTAAAGGTGAAGGATCAGTTAAGAGATAAAAAGAATGTACAAAAATGACGCAACCATACAAGTATATACATTTTTATGTGTATGTATGAATGAAGCCAATGACTGTTATTACTACAACAAATGCAATACTACAACGTAAAATATATACGAACAAGTACTTACGCCATTGTTACTGACACTATTAACATAATATTTTTTTGCTACAAATTCGTTCAATGACGGAAAAATAATTGCAAAATTATAATAAAAGATATATAAAAATATATAAAAGAAATATTTCATATATAACTTCTGCTTTAAGAGTATAAAAACTTTCTTTTTTGCCTGCTTCCATTGAAAAACCAATAAAAAATTTTGTTTCAAATTATAAAATTATAGGTTTTCAAGTTATTTGATAAATTACAGACTTAAAAAAATAGTTTGCAAATTTAAATTCAGCAGTTTACGCAAAAAATAAAATACAAATTAAAAATATTTTAATTTTGGAAAAAAAAATTTAAAAAAATGTTGTAGTGAAAAAATATATAATTGAAAATTTTTAATACTCGTCAGAAAATGAATATTTTTTCGGCCAAAGAAGGGTTATCATAAATTTTTTGCACAATATTGCAACTTTTTTTAGCTAATAATAATATTTTCATTAAATTAGAATAACCGCAAATCAAAAATTATCAAAAAATATCAAAAAAAATAGCTAAATTTTCTTCATTACAAATATCCACACACATTTTTTTATAATTTAGGAAGCTTGTGATAAGATTACTAAATATTTTTTACTAGTTTTAAGTGCAAAGCAATAAGAAAAGTTTTTGAATAAAATATTATATAATTAAGAACTACTGATATTTTTTTTGTAAATCGGGAGTTAAACTAAAATTTTTGCAAAATAATATTAAATTTAATTTTTTAATATCATTAATAATTTTTCTTTTTAAATAATGGATACTTTAATTATATATATATTAATACAATAATTTTTCTTATAAAATATAAATTATATTATTTTTTTTTTTAGCTATTCAAGTTTTATTTTATTTTCATTATTCAATTTATATATATATTTGCCTTAATGAGTTTCCCGTAATTGCTCAGAAAAATGCATTGAATACGTAAATCTACTTGTTCTACTCAGCTCTATTAATAAATACATATTGACTTTTACTATAATTTCTACTCATTTTTTGTTTTACGCAAAAACTGCACCCATTTATTTACATTACTCTCTCTCGACTTGATATTTAGACCCTTACATACTGTCACATGCCACTGCTGCTGCTGTTCCTGCTACTGTTGCAACAGCAAATTAAATTAATTATCAACACTTAACACCTTGTCGCTGATCTTTTGTGTCAAAGCGTACCAGAGGCGGATTATATTTGTACATACATACATACATGTGTATGGATATATAAATTTTCAGCTATAGCCAGACAATGAGTAACGATATTTACTTTAGATGTTGGTATGTACATATGTGTAAATGCGTATTCTACGTAAAATCATTTTTTTTTTATTAACTGCAATGGAATCTATATGTACATGTGTATAAAAGAAGAATATATATCGCACGCTGACCCCAATAATTGGCTTTGAGCCAATGTTGACACGCTTGTAGGCATGCAATCGATGTGTGTATATATACATATATGTGTATTTATGTA